TAAAGTTCTTTATACATTCTAGATAGTAAACCTTTCTCTGAGGAATAGCTGATAAAAAATGTTTCCCACATTGTGGGTTGCCTCTTCACACTGTTGGTGGTTTCTCTTGCTGTACAGAAGCTTTTTAATAACATGAGATAAGTATGGAGATACCTCAAAAAACTAGGGTTAGAGGTCTGATTTGACCCAGCTATTCCCCTGCTGGGTATCTTCCCAAAAGAATTAAAAGAATCATACCACAGTGATCTATGCGCACCCATGTTTATAGTAGCATGATTAGTAATAGCTAAAACTTGGAAGCAGCCCAATTGCCCAACTGAAGACTGGATAAAGAAGATGTCTTTTTCTTTTTCTTTCATTTTATAAAATAGAGTATTATTCAATCAAAAAGAATGCGAAATTAGAGACATTTATAGCTAAATGGATACACCTTGAGGCTATAGTCTTAAATGAAATAAATAGTATACACATGTGTAAATACTGAATAGTTTCTCAGGTATGAGAAACTGAAAGTGAAAAATAAAGATAAAAATGTATAATAGATAATGTAAAATAGGAAGAAAAAGGTCCAAAAGGGAAGGGGAAGAGGTAGGGGGAAGGAAAGAAGGGAAAGGAATAAATATGAGATGGAAACAAAGTCTTTACAGATAGGGAGGGGTGGAGAGGATGAAGGGAGGGCAGGGGAATGGGGAAAAAAAATAAACACCAAGATATATCTATGAAGGTACAAATTCCCAATGATGAGTGTCATCATATTGTATACCTAAAATGTACCCATAAACTTAATGAATAAAAACAATCCTGACTGTAATCAAGAAGAACAATAATGAGATAACATTTTTACTATTAGATGTCTAAGATTTTAAAGGGAGAAAAAAAGTTTAGAGAATCTAAGGATGCAGGAAAATGGTTATCTCATATCTGATAAGTGTTAAGTGTGGAAGTTATAACAAATTTTCAGAAAATTATCATACATTAGTAACATTAAAACTGAACATAGTTTATGAATCAATGATTCAGTGGTTTTGAGAAACTTTTATAAAATAAAAAATATCATGTAAAGATACAAACAAGGAGATATTAATGCAACTATTTTTCTTAGTGGCAAAAAAATTGGAAATGGTCTGACTGTCTCAACATGGGAACAGTCCTCCCTCTGTGTCCCCCACCAGCACAGCAGAACAGTTACATCCATCCAATTAGAGCAAGGGTTACCATGTTCATATTAAAATATTGACCAAAATATAGGTCATTTCCTGACTCAGAAGAAGTCTAGAATAATGTGTGTAACATGATCCTTTCAGCATTAATATAACTACATATTCCACAATTCCATGTATGGATTTCTATTTATATGTATGTACACAATTGGGTAGACAGAATTAATAGCTTTTATTCCCTTGGGGGGAGGTATTTGAGGTTAGATAGGTGCAAGATAAGTTAGTAAATATTTCTTTACATATTTTGCCTCATTTTTCTTAATAAAATAAGCATATATTATTTTTATAATTTAAATATATAAAGGGAAAATGAGAGAATAATCAAATTAAAAAATGGATTAAAACCACTGAACTGGTGACTTGATCCACTATTGTGCAAAGGATCAGGTTGTATAATTAAGAAAATAGTAGTCTGAAGAAGAGCTTTAGCCTGGAGAGAGATGACTGATCTGTAATTACAATATAACCCACAAGTGCAGCCACAGGGATGTATACAAAAGGTATAGATCACTGAAGCACACGCACAAGCCTGTCCTATACTCTTTCTATTCCTTGCCGGGAGGGCACACAATGGGTATCTTGTGGGAATACACTGTAAGCTCTTTCCCAGCTCGTCTCTTATTGGTTCTCAGTCTATCCTTGTCTCCTGTATAGTCTATAGACACTGCCTCCGGGTAATCTAAATTAGCATCTATGAAAACATTTCTGAGCAGAGACAGAGCAGAGAGAGACTAGCAGCTCAGCTCCCTTCCAGATGAAGTTGAATCTCTACAATTCTCTCCTTTGCACACCAGTACAGTAGGCCCAGAAAGAGCTGTATGTGGACAACTCTATCTCATCAGGCTCTATGGCTTTGTATCCTTCTGGCTCAGCACTGGTAAGTTTTAAGTGAGAAGGGAGGGTGCAGATTCCAGAGGCAGAGAGCAGAGCAGCAAGTAGCAAGAAGGACATAGGCAAAATTGTTGGCTGTTGATCCAGAATGGACCTGCAATGTGTTGAGGCAACTCAGCTGCAATGCACAAGTATATTCTATGAGCCCTGGGACCAAGTCGCAGAAAAACAGACAGGGTATCAGCAGATGACCCCGGGCACTGACTTTATCTGTGAGTTGCACAGAAACAGGAAAGAAAAGCATTTGTGCTAAAGAATAATCCTGAAGAAAACCAGAATTACCAACATATGAGTATTTAACATCCAAGAACATGCCCGGCAGCATCCTGGAGCCAAGTATGTGGTTAAAGGGAATGGGCTTTGGGATAAGAGTAACCTGAATAAACCCTGGTGCCATCATTTCCTGGCCTTGGTTTTTTCACTGGTAAAGCAGGACCTATCTCCTAAGGTGGTTGTGAAGAGTCACATAAGAGTGGATGGAAGCAGTTTGGTTGACCCTGAGGAACATGTTGATCACAGGTTATCTTTATAATTGTGCATCATGGGAAGAAATGGAAAATGAATAAGGTAAATATCCATGACCATATTTGATTCCATCTATCTTACATCTTCATCTCTCCAAGAGTCTTAAAGCAGAATGGAAATCTCTCCTGATGGCTTCACCTCCATCTCAAAAAAGTGGCTCTTTGCAATATTACAACTAATTCTTTAAAGCTCTATTGGCTATTTTTGTTTGAGCTTATCCCAATTTTGTTCAAATCATGAACACATGGCTATATATAACTTTCTTTAAGGAATGGCAGGAAAAGCCAGCTACCAAGGCCCATTAAGAAATAAAACAAGTCCCCATTGGGGTGCTGGGGTGAGCCTGGCGGCTAGCCCAGGGAGACTCTTGCCACATCCGTTGGACAGATGAGATTCTATGGCCACTGAGAGCAGAGATCTCATAACTGAAGGTTGAGTACTGGATATTGACAACAGCTGGGAGAAGAGATTCCTTCTTCTTAACCCACTCCTTGAACACTTCCCTCTGAGATCAGTCTTGAGCTGTAGAGCCTTTCCACAGGAGTGTTAACACTGGGGCTTTGAATGGAGACAGACACTGTTTCCCAGTGCTGGCCCAGGATGACTCCAAATACCTCTGAGGCAAGGTGTTATTAGGACAAAGGAGATCCTGACCACAGGAAGAAATGTAGAAAACACTGAGTTTATAAGGGTAACTTTAAAACATGACATCTCTTGTATCATGGAATGCTGACAGAAAATGCACGGGGGTAGTCCTTGTACAACATGGACTAAGTCTTAATACAGTCCATGCTCAACTTTGGAAGAGTGATGAGCCTGTCAGTATGTTAAAGGTGCTGTGATGTTGGACTACATAGAAGCAATTAAATTTGTTTGACTCAGTGTTTCCTCAACTTAGTTAATCACAGAATCCTTTTGCTAACAAGTAGTTCTTTCTGTCCAAAGAACATCATGGCACAATGAGCTGAGCCAGAGTCTCCTCTCTACACTGTAACTGAGTAGAGGAAGGGGTAAGCTGTCATTTGCACCCTTGGCCACACCCTCTTGCACAGGGCCCACTGTATTGCAAATGCGGCCATTGGGCCATCCCTAACCTCACTGGCCAGAACCTAAAAGTCCACACTTGTTATTTAGTTTGTCTCTCTTCAGGGATAAGTCCAAACTTATGAATACAGGGTAAGAGTGTTAAGTTGAGAAGCTTAGACACCATGTATGTACATTTTTGAAATTTCTGTACAAACTAGCCACCACGAAGGGACAGGGAGAACTCCAGGCTTGCAGTCAACACAGAGGCTCTTGGATAATATTAAGAATCTGATCTGTACTGCTTTATTAGGAAAAAATAAAGAAGAAGGAAAATATACCAGCCAGACATTGCAGTAGAAGTTGCTAGTTATTGAGAAGTGGAGGACAGAGTCTAGCATGTCTGCTCCAGCCCATTTACTGCTTGGTGTAGAGTCGGACTGTCTGGCATCTGTCTTCTCTCTGGCTTTTGGAGTGGAGTTTTCCTGGGATATGCATTTATTGAACTCTTAAAGTCCAGATCTCCTATCTAGATTAATTAATGATTTCATAGTCTCTTTGCAGCTGGCAAAACATCCTTTTATTTGCAAGAGTTATTACCACTGAAATCCTGGCATAGCCTGGGAGGTCAGCCTGTAATCTTGTTTAGATCCTTTTATATTTAGAAACTTTATAGTGGGTTAAAAATAGATCCTGTTTGTGTTCTTTTCCCTCTTTCACTCCAACTTCAAGTGCTATGCAGTCATTTTGACCCACCCCAGCTATAGGCCAGAGAAATTCTCACTTTTGTCACCTAGGAGTCTGCTGGACCAAAGCAAAAGTCATTTCCTAATGGGTTTTGGGGTGATGTTAGTCATAGGATGCTCATTATCCTACATAGTAAGTCCTAGTGTTATTATCTGTTTCTTTTTTTGTAAGACTCTTTTTTGGTTTATGTCTTGTTCTGAGTAATTACTTTGAAGATAATGATACACAATAACTACTGTTATTCTATTAGTATTTGATTATGAAATTTTGTTTTATTTTTTCATAAAAAAGAACAAAGGACTGTTAATTACCTGGTGAACAGTAAACTGATTCATGTTAAGTTGAAATTATGGCCCATAAGAAAAGTTTCCCATGGTGCTCTCCTGAAAGTCTTGTATCTTCCATCAGGTCAGAAGAAGTTGTATTAGGCTACAAGTGCAGGCTGCTTATAACCAAAAGTTGTATGATTTTAGAAGAGCCCAAATACCAACCATTACCTGTATGGCACTGGCCAAGGTGATGGGATGCCAGCATTTTCATGGCCAGCAAAGGGAATGTCATTACATTCAGGATTACCTCTTCATGGTTACTTACCTTCATAAACCTGCTAAATCCAGTTTTAAGGAGATCAGTGAGGCCTGAAGACATGTGTTCAATATCAACAGGATCTGGCTTCTCCAGATTAAATATATCCTCCACAATCTGCTTCAACAATGGCTTATAGGATGCCTGGAAAGACAAAATGCTTTAAGTAAAAACACTTGTCTAATTTGTCTGGAGAAAGGATAGTTTTATTTTCATCAAAAGAATGAAAGCTAATTTTGATATTGAACTGTGATTTTTTGTGTGTGGAAGACAATAAAATAACATTGAGGTTTTTTTTTTTAAATAAACTTTCACCCCAATGTTCTACCACTATTTACTGACTCTCACATTACCTTCTAATCAAATATCTCTCCCCACAGCTTAAATCACAGTACGGGTAACTGCTCAAGGTAGATTTAAAGCGACAATTTTATGCATGAAATATGCTGGAAAGTAAAGTCTTGCCATTTTATATAAACATGAAGGTGGCAGGCAGTTTTTCCTGAACATTCTTGGAATTATGCTCCCCTCCGTAGGAGCCTGAATGTTTACTTACAAGGCACTGTCAAAATCCAGGCTTACAGCAATCCCTCTTTTCTCTACAGAGCTCAACTCCAAATACGACTTGGCCAGAAAAAGAACTTAAGATGACAAAAGGAATCTGAGTAAGGTTAGAGAAGAAATCAGGCCACAGGAATTTCAGTGGAATTAGGGCGATGTTAGTTTACAGCAGCTCCTACAGCTTGATAAATGGCACTAAGTGCCTTCCTTTTCTCTGACCTAAATAACCCATCCCGATTTAGATTGTATTTGGAGGTAGCTGAGGGCTGTATTTTCTGAACTTATTTCTCTCCCCTTTCCCTAAGTTGTTGCTGGAAGTTCTTGTATCCTTCCTTCTTATTAACTGAGCCACCTTCTACCAGGTCCTGTTGCTGCCTTTGCTTCTCTGCCCATATCTGGCATCACATTAGAGCATGCAGGGTGGAGGCAGAAGGTCTATCTTCTCTTAACACACTCTCTGTATCACCGTTTTGTATGATCGATGATTATACGAGAAAAGCCAGGTTCTATGAGGGCATTGCTGAGATGTAGGCTGTCTTGAACTCTATTTTTCTCTTGCATTGGTCAAATATGTGAGTTTCCTGTCACCATGGCCACGGATATTTAGTGTATTGACCTCATCCTTGTTTTCATCTTGCTTTTCTTACAGGCATTTTTACTTATTTTTCTTTTATTTCAGTTCTTTCAAAATATCTTAGAAATAAAGCAAGATATAGGTCATCAATATAAAAATAACTATCTATTAGGTCTTTAGCTGGTATATTCCTTGGGGATGCTATGCATGGAGAAATAGCATCTGCTCTGCAGAGGATTCCACTTTTTCATATTTATTAGTCAAACAGACCATTAAGCACCCAGCAATTTCATGATTAATGACCATGAAGGAGAAACACTGAACAGAAGCATTGATAAGACAAGAAAAAATTTAAAAGGTATGTATCAAACTCATGATAAGAGAAATTCAAATAAAAACAATACCGAGATTGAAAAAAAAAAAAACAACAAACCAACCTCATCAGAGTGGCAAAAAAAAAAGTATTAGGCTGGAAAGAAGGAGGTATGGAGGGATTAGGGGCGGCAGGGATACTCTGTCTCTCGCTCTCCCTCCCTCCCTTTCTGCCCTTTCAGCTAAGCCCTGGGGAATGAAACCCAGGACAGCAGGCCCATTGAAAAAAGGCTCCCTTGCGAAGTGAGCAGAGAGATTTGGAAGTGCTTTTCCCTTAACACCTTCCTTCTTGAGACTTTGTGATCACTGTGTATTACTGGGGAAGCCTGGAAATCTTTTTTTATTTTGATTTTTTAAGGTAGCTAGTGAACATTTATTTAGAATAAGGAAATAAACCATAACATTTAGGAAAGTGGTGGATGTCAAATATATCATATAATCAAGAAAATAACATGAATGTTTTTATTAACTGCCTATCAACCTCTATAATACTTATTCTTACCTTGTTTTAGTTGCATTCTTTTATGATAACAATTTGTAACTAGCATGTTTCTATACAGTATGATAGTTACTGAGCTATTGTCTGCCCACTCAAAATCCACCCTTCCTTCCTTCCTCCCATATTGTTTTTGAGACACAGACTCACAGAGTCTCACTATGTACCCCAAGCTGGCCTCAAACTCACAATCCTCAGGCCTCAGCCTCCCAAATTCTGGGATTACAGGTGTGTACCACCATGAGTGGCTCTAAGGGTCTAAGGGACCATGAGTCTGGCCTCAGTTCTGTGATGTTGGACTTTGATTCTGCAAATTGTGAGTACATTTGTTCTTTGCCAGGTAGTTAGACTCCTCCACAGGCAAGGGCACTGGAGGGAGTGTGGAAGGCAGGGAGAGCAGGTGGGAACTTGCTCCTGCCTACCTTGTGGCTATTCTTGTAGTGTGGCCTGACAATGGCCTCTCTCACCAGTTAGAAGCTGACCTTCTTTTGGACTCTTGCTACTCTATGTAAGTACACCTTTTGTGGGGGGGCGGGCGGATTACAAACTCAGGAACATTTGTTCTTCCTTTTTTCACTGCTCTTTTTTTTTCTTGCTTATATCATGACCATCCAGTATGAACTGCAGTAGCAGAACTGAGTTCTAACAATCATTCAGAGACCCAGGTTCTTGTCACTGAGTGACTCTACCATTCCTAGGGCATTAGAATCCCACACCACAGACCTTGCACCTCATCACTAGATGACGACAGAGTGGAGAGTATGAGGATTTTGAGAGATTTTATGAGCCTGGTCTGAAAAATGTACCTCTTCTACACAGAGTTCACTTACCAGGATATATTCCAAATCCACACTGACCTGCAAGGGAATCTGGAAAGTGTGGTTTAACTGTGTGACCAGGAGGAAAAGTAAATGGAGTTTGGAGAACACATAGCATTGTCTCTGCTACAGACACTTTGTCAAATTGGAATATAAATATAAATATGATTACTTCCTTAATGACTGGTATGTTGCTTAAAAGGCTACGAATTAATAAATCCTTGCTGGAGATTTAGCTCAGTGGTTCTGTGAACTGCTTTGCAAGCACAAGGACCTGAGTTCGATGCCCGGTACCAAAAAGAAAAAAAATCCTTTTCCCCTTCTGCATAAGAAATTGACCTTTGGTTAACTTTCTAGCCCTGTTTTTGTGGAAACTGATAAAAAAGAATGTCAAATCAGGTGGCCAGGCAAGAGTGCCAACGACAAAAATGACCCCTGCTTGGAAAATTGCATTAGACTGGAAATAGTGCAAATGTTATACAGAGAGCTCAAGCTTTGGGCTTCTCTGAGTATGAGAACTCTTGAATAACAGCTGGGCGTGTCCCTTGGAGAAGCACTGGAACAGGCTCATGGAGTTGCAGCCCAGAAATTAGCTCCCATATTAGGGTTTTAAGCCAGGGGAATCCTGGACCCAGTTGGAGTGAATCCTGTCCTCTCACTGCTCAGGACCTAGCTGGACAGCTCCTTGACAGCAGTCCTGCAACTGCTTCATGTGCCATGGGTCCCTGGGGCCATTCTAAGGGTGAGCCATGTGCCTGTCCTGGGCAGACTGGACACAGCCAGCTTATCCATTGGGCAGAGGACACACAGGACCCTGGGCCTGCGTTACTTTTAGGGGCTCGTGAAAATGCCTAGTTTTTTAAAATCAGAAGGAAAAAGATCAAAGTAATATTTTGATATGAAATACTACTATTTTTACTTTTATTTTAATGTACTTGTATAACATATGTTTTAACATATTTTATTTTTATAGAGGAAAGGGCTGACAAAGGCAAAAGTGAGCAATGACCATGAATGTTGTAACGTGGCCTGTCCTATGCTCTCAGGAAACTGACTGTTGTTACACATGAAATAGTTTTACAAAATCGATCTTATGTGGAAATTATCTTTCCCCCGCTTTCTTCAAATGAGTAATACCTTTTCAAGACAAATTGGGTCTTAATCCATATTTAACAGAATATGAAAAACAAAATACTCGTATCTATGTCTTTGACTTAATCTTTTTGTGGGGCAGATAAGATGTGGTTTTGTCTAGAGGACTTTTATTGTCTGAACCCCTGCCCCTGAGGGTTGGTACCAAGTATGGCAGCAGATTCTGATGCATGCATACTAGCCTAACTCCAGCACCTTCCAGAATTTGGCGTACTTTAGAGATGGCCCAGTTTACCCGTTTCCAAGGAAACCTGGAACACTGCCAGAGCCCCATCCCATCAAGCAGGCTGCTGACACTGCTGTTGCTGACTGGTGTAGGGCAAGCAGGGAGTCAGTCCTACTGCTGAATATGCTTGCTTCTTCTTTTCCTTTACCTCCTCCTCTAAACACCAAATTCTAAAACAAAAACAAAAACAAAACAAAAAAAAACCCACCCCAAACAAGGTTAGCACAGGGTGTTTCAGTCCAGCAACAGCACAGAATGTTTAAAAATGCTTGTAATTATTTCATGCCATTTATCTATCTATCTATCTATCTATCTATCTATTTATTTATTTAGGGTTTGTTTTGGTACCAGGGATCGAACTCAGGACCTTGCTTTTGCGAGGCAGGTGGCAGCATCACTGAGGTAAATCCCCAGCCCTATTTTTATTTATTTATTTTTATATACTATGAATATTTTTCTTCTTTTATCTTCTTAAAAGAAATAGTTTGTTTACAGATTTAGAAATGTTTTATTTGTCCATTCAGCAATCTACCCATCCTTTTATCCAGAGCAGATAATTTTAAAAAATTGAATGAAGTCCCTTCAACTTCAATATGAGGAAATCAAAGGCCAAAGACATTAATGAATTTTCTTGAGTTCATAGAGTCAGTCAGAAGTAGACTTTGGGACAGTGCCATTCTTCCTGGTCCTCAGTTCAGTCCTCTCTGTCCCACATTCATTCCTTCAGTAGACAGAACCAGGAAGAGGAACAGAGATTAGCCTGGCATATGAACAGCTGGTGGCCAGGGTTGGGGAGTGCTGACAAGAGATAGGGCCTAAATACTCTTCAGAGAGCCATATTTCATCTGGCACAAGATGAATCAAGCCGCCTTGGGCACTGCTGAGTCTGGATGCTCTTGTCCAGCATACACGCATCTGTGCAGAGCTCTTACCAGTGCAGCTCTGTCCTGGAAACTTGTGCCAAAGCCCATCATGCAAGAGCCAGATGTCATTTTGTCTGGAAGGCCTCATGAGCTCCGTGCCCCAAAACATGTCTAATATTTTCCTCATGCTGCAGCTGAGGAGCAGCAGTGCATCAAACCCCATGGCACCAAAGGAGTCTACACTTCATCACCCCATGAAACTGGGACATATGCAAAAAGAAATGATAGGCATGAAGCCCTACTGCACAGACACAGTTAACAGGGACAACCTCCAACCACAACCCTGTCACACACTAGAGTATCAGCACTAGACCTGTCACCATAGTCAGCAGTCATAGGGCATTCAGCATGGGAAGACTGTCCTTTGTATGTAGCACACATCCAGGCAAAGGGAAAGATAGAAGGCTGAAAAGAAGACAGAGAAAGCCTCTCTGTTCTTCATTTTTCCTACTGCTATCACTACAAATATAGTACTGTTTATGAGTCAGATGCTGTTCCCTGCAGTTACTCATAGAGGGATCTAAGGTGGAATACACTTCTGAGTGTGTCTGGGTGTGGAGGAGTGACTTTGGGTGCTATATCTGGTCATTTGTCCCATCCCCCTGCTCTAACCCAAGGAGCTTTGCCCCACTATGTTCTTCTGCTGTGATGTTCCTATCTCAGAGCCAACAATCATGGTCTGAAGTTTCTTCCACTTCCTGTTCCCCAAGAATCAGACCCTGAAACAAGGATTCAAATGCAGCCCTTCCCAGTGTATCTAGCTCCAGCCCATTCATTTATGATTGCACACCATTTCACTATACCTATGTATCATTATTTATTTAACCCCTGCAACACAAATACATTATCCTACTCCCCTCCCCACTTCCTGCTCATTGAAATTTAGGGTCTTTGGTGAGTATGCTGATGTTACTGACTCAATCTAAGAGGAAACATATGCGAGAAAGGAGACTTAATTTTCTAAAGGCCATGACTGCAAGACAGGGTTCTGAGGCCTTGAAGAGTGACAGAGTTGCCAGAAGGGAGGTAAGTTTAGAAGCTCATCTTTGTCCTTATAAAGCTCAAGATTTATAGCTAATACATGCTAATGTGAAACTAGCCAAATCAGTAATGTGACAATCAAATAATGGGAGAGAGCTCATTAAATTAGTGGTTTATCTTCTCTTTGCCAACTATAACAGCCACTTGTTGAATTTAGATATTCTTTGGTCTAAATTTCATCATGCTTTTGGAATATATCCATGTTACAGTATGTAAGATTGTTGATTTTTAAAAAATGATAATATTGTGTATATTACTGATCTGAGTGGTGTTTATCCATATTTTGTGGCAGTGACATCCTCAGATATTTGAAAAAAGCATGGGAATCTTTACATTTCTAAGTTGAGTGCCAGTTCCTATGGCTGTTGGTGGGTGATTTCAGATGACCATTAATCAATACTTCTAGAACCTCCATGAAAACCATATACTCAGGAGGAAGATGTATTGTGATGGTCTCAAGGACCTAGCATCTGCCCCTGTCCACTATGTGCCAATGGCAAGTCACCTGACCTTCCTGGATCTCTAGGTAATACCTTCCACCAAGAATCAGCACTCTGAAGCTGAGCTCATCATTATGTCATACTCTCCACTCACAGCACAGTCTACTCTCTGAGGATCTTTCATAGGAGCTGGGGTCATGGTTTAGAGCTAGAATATTTACCTAGCACGTGTGAGGCCTTGGGTTTCATCCTCAGCACGATCAAAAGAAATCAAAAGCCTTAACAACTGGAGTAAATTTTACTAAAGATTTCATGGAGAGGAAGAGAAGATTCCTACAACTAAACTTCGTAATCTTTTCTACCAGAAACATCTGTTCTTTCTTGGAAGTTCATCTTTGGCCACCAGGAACCTTGGTCCTGTCTCCAACTTTGTGCAACAGACACTTCCCAGTCTCCATGCATTCTCCCCTTTGAGCTTTTTACAGCACTCATCCCTGCAATTTTGGATTCTCATATCATCTTCCTATTTAATAGCCAAAGCATTCTTGGTAACTCTCCTTAGAAAACAGTGAGAGAATTTTAATAATAAATGTTTTTGCTGGCACAAACTTCTGTTTTACTTACCTTGGCATTATTAAGTACTTTCATTCTTCTGATGGTTCAGAATGTTTATATACTGCTTAGATCTGGAACCTAGCAGGTCACCTAAGACTAGTCCATCATTTGGTGCCTGAAATAACTGGTTCCCAAAGAAGCAAAGGAATCACCTAAAGCTAAGGAATCACCATAGTGATAAAGCAGCAGGTGCCCTCCAATGTAGTGCTCACCCTGCTGCATCAAGCCTAGGACACACACGAATCGAGAGGCTTTCAAATTTAGTGGAACCCCAAACCCTGAACTAAAAGGGAATTTAGAGTTCATCTAGAACAAACCTTCAATTAGAGAGGTTAAATGGAAACTTCCCTGTAGTTGTAGTCTTTGAATCCCAAAAGTACAACAGATTAAGCAGAGGCTTTAGAACCCATGGACTCACCTGGTGGGTATGATTTCCAGGAACATACACAGACTTAAACTCTTTCATGAGACTCCGAGCTCCAGCAATATCCCAAAGAGAAGAAAAGAGTTCATCCACAGCGATTTTGGATTTGTGAAATGTCAGTTTAGTTGCAGAGTCACAGCCTGAAACAATCCAAAGGTATTTTCTCAAGTGAGAAAATCTTTAAAGTAAGTTTTTCTCACAACATCTTGACCTCGATGTAGCACAGGTGGCAATTTCTTTTAATTCTATTTCCCCTTGGATATTCATTCACCAATGTGGTTGTTTCATTCATCTATGAGCAACGGAATAATATACATGCTTTTGACATAAGCAGGACTCAAATTGCCTGGGACCTCAGCGACTGACTTTCATCCGTGGACTACAGAAGAAGGTTCATAGAAAGAAAGCTCCCTAGAAGCTATAAACTTCATGAGACTGCTTTGGCACAAGAAAACATGGGATTGCTACAATGAAATTCCCTTGCTTGAATCCCGCCAATTTTTATAAAGAGGAAAGCAAGGCTGAGAAAAATGCTAGAAGAACTTACTGGGATGAACACCTTGTCTGATGAGCTAATAAGGCCTCTTAGATCTGGAACCTAGCAAGTCACCTAAGACTAGTCCATCACTGAGTGTCTTTATGAGGTGCGATAAAAAAACAGTAAATCCTGCTGCTGAGTGCCATCCAAGGAGAAGGCAGGCATGTAAACACATTATGTTTTGTCCTCATGCACCTTATTCACTGGATCTGGCACCATGTGGCTTTATGTTTTCAAAATGATCACAAGGGTATATGTTTTGAATTGACTCAAGACATTGCAACAGCTATGACAACACAACTAAAGACACTCACAAAGAGCACATTCAGAACTGCTTCGGAAAATGGCAAGAATGATTGGATAAATATGTTTGAAGCAAGGGGGAGGCTATTTTGAGAGGGATTAATTTTTTAAAAATTTTACATATTCATTGTATTATTTGATCATACTTCATACATCAGAAGTGTTAACGTCTTACTTCTTACATCACCTTGGTAAGGTAGGAGCTATTATTTTCTCCATTTTAAGAATGAGGGACTGAGATGCAGGTTAAGTAACACTCTTAAGCAGATTTTGTCAAGGGCCTGTACATATCCACGGTCACCCTGAGCATCACCTGCAGGTTTGATGAACAGTTTTTGTGTTCTCCAACTACTTTCTACCCCAAGTGCCCACATGCCTGTCTGTCTTGTTTCTTGTCTTTGTTTCCTTTTCTCCTGTTTCTGTCTCTATCTCTTCTTGCCTGGGGATTTTCTCTGGTTATAGGAGCATGTGTGTCCCGTTTATGGGGCAGGCTGGGAAGACCCTAATCAGAGAAATAACCCCATTTTCTCATCCTCTGGGTGGCAATTCTGAGTTGTTGTCTCCACAGTCTTTCTGAGGGGCCTCAGCAGGACTGGGCCCCAGCTGCCCATGACAGCTGCTCATTCATTAACGTGCCCTCTATCAGCTTTCCTTCCTCTCCCACCTCACTGCACTCCTTCCTTACTGTGCTTTTCCAAATGCAGTGACTGCACCTAAGCTCCTGTCTCAGGACACTCAAGCTTCCACAGTGACTAAACATAGGTAGCCTGTCATCTTGTTGTCGTCATCCTCCTCCTCTTTTCTCGTAGCAACTTTACTAATATGTAACTCATATACCACGTATTCCCCATTTACATTTAGAAACCAATAGCATTAGTATATTCACAGAGTTTCACAACCATCACCCTGCAATCAGTTTTAGAACACCTTTTATCATCCAAATAAGAAACCTCACACCTAGCAGGAGTCACTTCTGGTTTTCCCTACCCTTACTCCTGCAAATTACTAATTTGCTTTCTGCCTCTATCAATTTACTGACTCTGGACATTCCATATAAATGGAATAACAGAATGTTGTCTTTTGTGACTGGCTTCTAATATTTATCATGTTTTCAGGGTTTATTCAAATTATAACATTTACCAGGACTGTATTTCTTTTTATTGCCTACTAATATTCCATTGTATGAATATATGATATTTTATGTATCTATCCATCGTCTGGGTTGTTTCTGGACAACGAACAATGCCGCTAGTTTTGCATGTACAAGTTTTTGTGTGGATATACATTTTCACTTCTCTTGGGTATATGCCTAGAAGAATTACTGGATCATATGGCAAATTTGTACTTAACTTTTTGAAATATTGCCAGATTGTTTTCCAAATTGGCTGTCCTGTTTTACATTCCCACTAGCAGTATAAGAAGGTTTCCATTTTGCCACAAACTCATTAGTGTTTATTACCTATTTTCTTGATTATAGTTATCCTAGTGGGTATGAAGTAGTGGTTTTGATAGAGAAACTGTGTTTGGGAAAGAGAGGTAGAGTCAAACAATCTTTTTTTTTTTTTTATTGAGTTTATTGGTACATTTAGGGATACAGTACAGTTACATTCATTGTTGGGATCATGTACCTTTAAGTCAAACAATCTTAAACTAAAAAGGACCTAACATACACAGAAGTGTTCCACAGAACCTAACTGCATCAGACACAGTGATACAGCTAGTGAGTAGCTATGCCCATATTCTCAATTACTGAATAAAATTATAGGTAATAAATCTTAAAGGGTGGGTAAAATCCTCTATTTCCTGGTTGCCAGAGATGTCAGACTCATTGTCACTAAAAAGAAAAATCAAAGTGTGGTTATTCTACTACATTTTCTCTTGTTATAATATAATGCCTGAGTCTGAGTGATTACTTAGCTTACAGCTTTTGCGGATGAAAATCCAAGACTGGGGGTACTCATCTGTTCAACCTCTGGCAAATGGGCCCTTGATAGTTACAACATGGCAGATGACATCACAGCAGGAGCATGAAAGGCAAAGACCACAGGGCAAGACAGGAAGCCAGAGAGTGGAAAGAGGCCCATCTTGATCTTGTTTCTTTTACAACAACTTGCTGTTTCAAGAACTCTCTCTCTGTGAAACCCATATTCTCCCCTTCCCAAAGCAGCGTCTCCGGTGACCTTGTCACCTTTCACTAGACCTCACCTTTTTACAGTTTCACCACCTCTTCGATTATCACATTGGGATCAAGCTTTCAGGACCTTTGGGGTCAACCCACACTGGGCTACAGGGAAGGTCCACCAGTGAGAGGAATCTTGGTGTTCATTTGACACTGCATATCTGGGATCCAGGGATTATTGGGGCAAAAAGGAATTGATGGAGAGAATTCAAGGGGTTCATAAGAACTCCTTGGAATACAAAGCCAAGCTTTGTGGAAAGGAGAAAATGTGTAGTTTGCTGAGGAGCATGTCTTTACGTCCTCCCAATCCTTAAAGATGCTTACAACCAAGAAAGATGTAGTTCCAAAGGTACAAAGCATGCTCGCTCTCTATGTTGTAGTTCTAGCTGAGACACAACACCTTGTGCTTTAAGCAGCAAGCCATGACAAGAAATCACAGAGGAGTATGGCTTCTCACTTCATGAGTGTTCTTTACTTAAATTCTCAGAAAGAACCATTGGAGATGTGAGAAATTATATCTATTATATTTAGAAGTTTGAATTATACATTACTTATTAAAATAGAAAAAGGTGTAAAAACAGGTGAAAGAAAACACTACTAGGTCTAGTACCATTCAAAGTGTTTAATTTCTCTAAAAAAGCCCAACTAATAGATTAATATTTTTTATTGATAGTAATTCATTCTCTATATAAATGAAAAATTCATCTAATTTTCCATATGGTCTATTTTAAGCTTTTGAAAAGTGAGAAGTATGGTATTCCTCCACTAGGTTGACTGTAAAAGAATTATTTACTAGATTAAGGATGATTTACTGAAAGTTCTAGATTACATATAGTGTTTGTGGATTATGCATCAAAATTAAGTGCAAGCTATGTAATTGCAAAAGTTAAGGTCAACTGTAGAGCAGTTCTTTCACTTGTAGGTATTGGTAAATTGAACTAAAGTAAATCCAACAAGAAAATAAGACTGCTAAATAATAACACCAATAAATGCTAAAAGGAAAACAGAAAGTTCTAAATTCACAAAAAAATGATAAAACACCTGAAAAAATAGTTGACTATGTCCATTATTCAAACCAACTATACAAAGGCAACTTCTGTCTAAACCACTTGCCTTCTCCAGTTTGTGTGCACCAATGTCCTGGAACACTTGCTTTGGTGTTTTATAATCTCTCTAATTTTCACTAAGAAGGTATTTACATTGGTTTACCCAAACCCTACCATGAAAGTCGAGCACATCACCTCTAGACATAGGGATCAGAGAAGATAAACGACTCATGCAAGATCACACAGCATCATTTCCAGCCCAGCCATGGCTCCAAGTGTGCCTCGGCTTGCTGACCTGAGCATATTCCACGCACACAGCCTCCTTCCATTCCAGACCTCATCCCTGAATACAGCTTATCCCAAGTACAATGCTACACTTAGCAGATGAGAGAGATGTGGAGATAAAAGCTATTAAATGGGACAAGTTATTTCCTGTCATAACAGTAATCCCTATAATCTCTGGGTACTTCTCATTCTATGCCAGGAACTATTCTAAGCAGTTTATACATATTATCTTTGTTTTTGTTTTGTTTTGTTTTTTCAGACAGGGTCTCACTATGTAGTTGAGACTGACCTGGAACTCACTAAGTAGCCCAGGCTGGTCTCAAACTCACAGCGATCCTCCTGCCTCAGCCTCCCGAGTGCTGGGATTACAGGCGTGTGCCACCATGCCCGGCCTATACATATTATCTTAATCAACAGAAAATCTAACATGGTTGGTACTAATATCACTCCCATTTTGCAGATGGAGAAACTGAGCCATAGAGAAATAATACAAAGTTATTTCTCTAATAAATAGTAGAACTAAGATTCCAACCCTTGCAATCCCCTCTCAAAAGTAGTTGTTAATCTTTTCATTCTGCTGTCTTTCATGTGTTACATCACATGTAAACAAAAAATACACATAGTTTACCTTTAATTGCAGAGATCCTTTAAAAAAGGATGGAGTAGCTTTTTTTCCTGTGAAGCCCTGAATATGCCCCTGGGGTAGAGACTAACAGTGGTTTGCAGCCAGACTCAGGCCCATCTCTTTTGGCCACACAAGGTGTGAGATTTCCCAGGTCTGACTGCACA